AATAATATTGTCTTACTTATTATTATATTAATATATCCAGGTAGTAATCAATTATCAAGTAACAATTTTCTTGAATATTACCTGATATTATTAGTGGGGGTAGTATTTGGAGGGGGGTATTATATGCAGTGGTATATGGTAATTTAAAGTCAAAAAAAATATTATAAAGTTTATATATAAATATATATATATAATATAGATGAAAATTAAAATTTTACTGTAAAAAATTTTTTTAAAAAATTAAATATAAAAATAAATAAAAATTTTAAACTTATAAAAGACTTATTATTATATTTAATAAATGTTATTAAAATTAATTTATTTTTTTATTATATAAAATTATTTTTAAAAAATTTTAAAACCTTTAAAAACTCTACTTTTAATATAAAATTTATGTTTTTTAGTAAAATTTGACTAAATTTTAAGTTAAGTTAATTATTAAATAAGTTTTTGTATTTAATAAAATAATAATAATTATTATATTATTATTATTATAACTTTTATTTAACAAAACTATGCATTAAAATAATTTTAATAATTTTTAATATTTCTATTTTGTAATGTATTATTTTAAAAAAATTTTAATAATATATTTAAAAACTTTATTAAGTAAACTTGTTTTTTATATTCTTAAATATATTAATATGGATTTTTAACTTATTTTATTAATTAGTTATTAAAATATTACAAAAATAAAAATTGATATATAGTCACAGACTGTAATACAGTATATTAATAAAAATTGTAAAAAAAAACTTTAAAGAATAAAAAATAATAAAATAAGTTGTAAAAGATAATTTTTTAAAAAAATTAAAAATGATATAAAATAAAAACTTAAGAACAGAATAAAAGAATAAAGTCGTTTGTGATTAATTTAAGTCTAATGCGTACTACGGGAATACTTAATCTGAAGGTTTTGTTACCAAAATTAGCTGTTGCCTCTGCTGCGCATGTATGAACGTCCGAAATGGCGATCATTCCACATACATACATAAAATATTGGGCAATATATAAAGAACCAAGTCATTTTTCCTTTTTATTTCAAAATTATGAGTGGTAGCAAAAAAGAGTACCAACTTGAAGACGGCAAACTGATCTTGGACCGTGTCCGTTCTTATTTCGTTGTTCCCTTAGCAAACCCACCAAAAGATGTCGTCCTCTCACGTGATGACTCCTTATATAAAGATATCGCCGTATATTTTGAAGAATCGTTGAAACAAGCTGGTTGCAGAATAGTATCGATTTCAGTTTTACAGAACAGACAAGTTTGGGAAAGGTAATATTGTATGTAGTCACACTGCAGAATGTAATAATTTTCATGCGTTTTAAAATTCCTGCAATAACATTGTATTTTCTGCTTAAGATATCACCAATTCAAGAGTTTGCAACAGGCGATCGAACAAGAAGAGAGAGCAGCGAAAAATTTACAAAATACTTTCTTCGAAACTGCATTCAAAGATACCGTATTATTTCACGGTACTCAGCCAGATAACGTAACTTCGATATTAGATCATGGATTGGTGAGTTACTTTGTTATAATAATTCTGTCACCAACTAAAACGTTAATTTGATTTAAAATTTAGGATGGAAGATTCTCTAAATCGTACGGTAATTGCGGTCCTGGAATATATTTATCACCGAGTTTTGAAAAATGTGATCTCTTCGCAAGCCGTTATAGTCCTTCACAAAGGTCATTAGTGGTTTGCGTGACTGCGCTAGGCAAAATATATGACAATACCATAACACAAACCGTTAGTCCACACACCAAATATCCGCCTAAAGGATACAACAGCGTTAAACATTTTGTTTCCGTTTCTGATGAATATGTCGTTTACGAAAATTCACAAGTATTGCCGATATTGGCTGTTACTTATGAAAAAATTGAAAAAAATATTCCTCGTCCTATCACGAGTTCATTTATACTACCACCACCACCTTTTCCGGTTGTTTCGTCATTTACAGCATCTACTCCTCAAATTATAACATCCGGTCACAATGTAAAATTGGCGATGGGTTCAGCACCTAAATTTACTACATTAAATAATAATACCTGCAATTTTGGACCTTTGGTTCTGACAAATTTATCAACTATTCCGCCACCGACTTTTCATCAACGACCATCATTTTCACGATTTCCGTTTCTTCAACATCTCTCGCCGTCGAAGTCTTTATCCGGAAATTCACATACCGAATCTAATTGGTGTATGCGAAAAGCACATCAAATGTTAAATCAGTGGGAGGCTCAAGTCAATTTCAATCAAGATCTCTCAAACATTTATGGCGCCTTAATGGCAGACCGACAGTTCTGGCCTCAACAATCCGGTGGATCTTACCCAAATTTGGGATCATATTTGAATTTTGCATTGTCAAGTCAGCGTAATAAAACTCTGATAAATCTTGATCAAGGATTAGTTAATATGTTGAAAACTCTGAATAGTTATCAAGGGATAGTACATGCGAAGAGGCAACAAGTGGAGGCAAATAGATCTGTTAATTTGCAACAGGTTCTTACGACGGTCAGTCAGAAACGGCTTCAGGAAGCTATTTCTTCACAAGAGAGTTGTACTATATGTGCAGAATTGTTACTTACGTTCGCTTCAAATAAGGATATTGTACAAATGAATAATTGTCCTCATCTATTTCACCAATCTTGTATCGGGACTTGGCTTAGTATGCCTTCTTCACAAATGGTTTGCCCAAATTGCAAAACCCCTTGTCATGATCCTATGGCACCTCCACCTATTGGACCAATGCCTGATGGGGAGATGGCATATATTTTTAGCGAACATCTAGGTGCTTGGTTTATTTGTTATGGGATTCCAAATGGTACACAATTGCCGTGTCACCTCACGCCGGGACGACCATTTAAAGGCACCACAAGAACAGCTGTTTGTCCAATTTATTTTAAATGGGGTCCACTTTTGTTTATTCGTCTGGTTGCGGCATTCTATTATCATCATACATTTACGGTTGGAACTTCACTTACGACCAACATGTCGGATACGATCGTTTGGAACGGCATTCATCACAAGACGTCAATAGATGGTGGATTTGGTTTTCCCGATTCAACGTACGAAGAAAGGGTTTCGCTGGAATTGGATGCAAAGGGGGTACTATTGTTCCTTAGGGATGTAGTTTCCAATGGTTAATAAGAGTCGATCGGATTTTTTCTTAACAGAATGTAACCTCGATATCAACAAGCTGATATTCACATTCGATATTGCTTATTAGAATAGATTCTTATTGCAAAATAGCAGAAACGCTTTAATCATTATGTTGGAGAAATGGGATGACTATGAAACCTTTGCATGCACATTATTCTTTATTTTATTATGACTAAAGAGACTATATTTATGGGTATATTCTATTAAGAATTATTCAACGCGTCAATAATTTCAATTATTTTAAAACATTTCACAATCAGTTAGAGTAAATACTACCCTAGAAAAGAATTCATAATAAATCGCAAAATTACATTGAAAAAATTTATATTGACAAGAATTTACTATGATTTTCCTCGAGTTTACAATATCGATTCTATAAAATTTTGAGAACTTTTTTTTGAGTACTATCAATATAACGTGAAATAACCTCTAGGACATCAACTGGTATAATTGTTTTATTTGGGAAACATGGCACGGCACTACTAGATTTGTTCATTTGAAGGACCCTTCTTTTGTAGTTCTTCAATTAAATTATTGATCCGTTGTTGAACTTCCTGTTTTTCATTCGAAAGATTTGAATACCGTTGTTGAAGTTCACGTTCACGTCCAACTAGATGGTCGAATTCGCCTCGGAGAGACTGTTTAACGTAATCGTATCGTTAGTTATTGTACGTATTTACCCGATGACAACATTATCGAATTCAGTACCTCAATACGCTTTGGTATTGCCTCCTTTTCGGATGTGTTCAATGATTGGAAAGAATCTAGTTCAATTTTTGCTTGTTCAAGGTCTTCGAATGTCTCTACGATTTTCTTTGAAAGAGCTCGAGATCGATTCTAAATTATATTAAATGTTATTAATAATCTAGTAAATACAAACGAATTAAGTGTATAATTCCTTTAATATATACCAAATAACCACCCAGAGTGACATTCAATTTCTTTTCCAATTTTGCTGCTCTGGTGGCATCTTTGACCATCAGATTACGGTTAATCTATATGTGAAAATGTAATTACTCAAAAAAAGTGCACAAGCTAGACAATCATGTATTTGGTAAAGGAATATTTACTTCGAGCTGATTCTGAAGTTGCTTGATTTCCATTAAGTCATCTAATTTATACAAATTCTCACTATAAAAATCAGTTATGCGTTCGTTGGCTGTTACTGTAAGCTCCTCTTCGATCGTTTTTCTTGCCTATAGAACATTGATCAGATCAACTCTACGAATAATGTAAAAGGTTAATACTACGCGAAAACCATCACATACTTGATCCATTAATTCATCCGGAAATTCTTCAAATGATTCCAATTTTTCTAAGTTTGATTTACTCCCATGAACTGGATGCACGATGGCATCATGTTGAAGTAGTTGTATCATTTCCAAATTAATTAATTTAACAACTTCTGAATCGTCCGATGGATCATCTATTAAAGTTTCAATAGTGGATTTATTAATGTGAACTGGCCTAGGAAGGTCACGCTTAACGGCTTGTGATCTACGATTAAGACGAGCTCTTTCTGATAAGAAAGAAGTATTGTCATTATATTATTAGTGCAATTGTTATAATTCATATTTTTTTCAATAATCCCTTACTAAATAATTACCTTCTTCCATTTGTTGTGCTATCAGTTTTTTATCCCTATCGCTGGCATCCTCCTCGATACCTTCCATTGCATCCCCAAGCTCATTCTGACTCTCAATCTCGGGTAAGACAATCTCAAAGTCATTTTTTGGAGCGGGCAAACTTTGCAATCCAATTCGGAGTTGTTTAATAGCCGCCTTATCGACTAAATTAAAAATAATTTTTGAAGCTCATTGGTATAGATAGTATATAAAAAGGTTGTTCAAATATATGTATATAATATGCATACCCGAAGCAGGTGTTCTCGGAGTTCTCAGCGAAAGAATAGTTCCGGGTGTCCTTGGCGTTTGCATAGAACCTCCCGTAGATCTAGGAGTTCTCAGAGGCAAATTGGTAGATGGTGTATAGTCACCTAGTGAAGGAGCGGTATCCGTTTCACCTACAACTGCCTTGGTATTTTCTCCGGCAAATCCAATTTTTACAATCTACAATAAATTTTTGTCAATAGTATAAAAAAAAGATAAAACATTTACATATATCCGACTTGCAAACCTCTTCGAGTTCAGTCTCTCCGACTTGCGGAGCTGGAAGAGCGAGCTTTCGCCTCTTACTAATCTGTTCGGCCTGTTTTAACTTATTTAATTGTGCAGCTCGAGCAGGAACGAAACTAACAGGACCACCCTCCCCATCATCCCGTGCAGTTTTTTGCTTTTTCCTTCTTTTCTCTTCGGCAAGTTCAGAACGTCGTTTACCTTCGAGTTTGTGAAGATGAACATTTGTATGACCTGGTTCCAACTGCCTATTCTTCTCCTCAGTGATATCATAAAATCCTAAGGCTGGTTTTTTCTCGAAAGGAATGTCTGCATTATAATCCATCCCTTTTTTCTTTTTTTTTCCTTTTAATCTATAAACGAAAAAAAATGCATATATGATTATTCGCAGCTTAAAGCTTAAATTAAAAGTCAAACACTCAACCTACTCGATGCCCGCCGCTTTTAATTCACGCCGTTTTTGTAATGAAGCCAATCGTCGAGCTTCTTCTAATTGTTTTTCGCGTGCTTTACGTTTAGCTTTTTTGCCCTGCGTGTTTGCCAGGCGAGCACGTGCTTCTGATAACATTTCCTTTTCTAGAAAGGAATCAATAATCAATGAGTTTTATTCGATAAAAAATTTTCCAAGGTTCTAAATGATTATGCTTTACACTACCATCCTCATCCATGTCCACCGGATCTGGCCTAGCAGGCTTAGTCTCTGGATCAGGATCTATCTCTCCGGGTCTGAGTCTCCTAACATCATCGGCACTTGGACCTGCATCACCAGTTGGCCCAGTCAAGCCCAAGTCCATCCCTTCTTTTGCCTCTGCTTCATCCAGCAATCTTTGATACCTTTCAAGACACTGAGATGGTGTCCTTCCGACGATTGGGGCAATAGTTCGCCATTGAGTAGGCATCAATTTTGCGAGATGAAGAAGTTTTTCGTCCTCTTCTTTGGACCACTCAGTCTAGAGAGGTACAACATATTTTTGATTTAGTTTCTAACTGATCAACGCGTTAGATCTATTTTGTCATTTAGAAATGTGAACTTACTTTCTTGATACTAGGATCCAACCATTCGTACCATCTTGCCTTACATTGTTTAGGCGACTTTCGGACTAACAAAGATGAGATGCGAGCCCATTGATTCTTGCCGTACTTACTAACGGCGGCCTTTAGGATCTCATCTGCATTTCACAAACAAACAGTATAAGTATGACTGCAATGTCTGCACATGTTAAACATATGTCGCGTATATACCTTCGGTGTTTTTCCAAATTCCTCCTTTAATAATTATTCTCATTTCGACTTGGAAGGCAAACAGATAAATCACCTGACAAAATATTCAATACGTACGCATGTACGTAATATGGTCACACAGAACACGCAACACTTGCGTAATCGTTGGTTATTAAGTAGTATCTTCTCAGACTCACTCAAAACAAAACGATTTTTTGCAAGATCCTTTCGAAATGAAGATCACGATAAAAACTTTACAACAGAAGCAATTTCAATTGGATGTCGATCCTGAGGACAAAGTACTTTAGAGTTACGCTCGATCAATACCTGCCAAATCTTTTATAACTTTTTTTTTTTTTTCCTTCTCAAGGTCCTTGCGGTGAAGCAAAAAATTGAACAGAGTCATGAACATGCTGTTTCACGTCAAAAACTCATTTTTGAAGGTGAAATTTTAAAGAAAGTATTATTACAGTTTTAATAACGGCAAGAATTCCTTTAAAACATTACTTTTACTCGAAAACTTGTCTAAAGGAAAAATTCTAGCTGATGATAAATCTTTATCCGAATATGAAATTTCGGAAAAAGGTTTTCTGGTGCTCATGGTTTCAAATTCAAAGGTATTTTCTAGGAACTTCATTTAAATTGACAAATAACTATAGATCTAGGAGGACGCCTTTTTATGTTTTTCATGTTGTCGTGTTTTCAGAACGTACGAAATTTATTATTGAATGTTTTACGTTCAGCCTCCTGCAAAACCAGCAAATACGCCACAGCTTTCAGGTTCTAACCCATCTCCCAGTACGACTGCGCCATTGCCAAATTCTCAACGAACTCCCACTATAACCGCTCAACAGCCCGCGGTTATACAAGCGCCTGTCGCACCTTTGACTTCTTCAACTCCTCAAAATCCCCCTCCTCCCACTCAAACATCAACAAATACAGCAACAACTACCACACCGTCAATACCGGATTTATTTGGCAACGCCAGTGCGTTAGGTGGGTATTCTGATTTTGAAATTTGGCAAGATTTGATAATATTTAAATAATTCCATTTAATTTCTTCAGTTACTGGCGCTGATTACGAAAATGTCATCCAAAGTATTATGGAGTTGGGATATGATCGGGATCAAGTTGTGAAAGCAATGCGTGCTAGTTTTAATAACCCAGATAGAGCTGTTGAATATCTGATGACTGTATGTCTACAAACAATTTAATGAAATGCCTTTGGGAAAAATAAAAGAATTAATATTAACATTTTCGAGTATAATGTTAATGTTGATCTTGATTAATAGGAAATCCCTCCGGAAACCGATCAATCAACTTCCATCTCGGAACCGGTGGTTAACCAGCCACAAACAGTTTCACCTACAGCTCCAAGTACTGGGTCATCCACTCATACAGGTTAGATCGATGCATAGGATATTTCCCTAAGAATTATAAACCTAATGAACATGATATCACCAATTATAATCAGCCATACCTCAAAATCTTTTTCAAGTCGCTCAACAACAACAACAGCAAGGAGGCACCGATGAATTATCCGTCTTGAGAAGTCATCCCCAATTTCAGCAATTGCGAAGACTTGTTCAGGAAAATCCAGCGCTATTGCAACCATTACTTCAACAAATTGGACAATCTAATCCGCAATTACTGCAGGTGACCTTTAAAATATATATATATATAATTGTTAATTTTATTTGCAAATTGGACAAAATTCATACTCACATGACACTTAATTATTTTACCAGCTTATCAACGCAAATCCGGCAATGTTCTTGCGTCTCTTACAGGAAAATGGAGAGGAAACGGGCGAAGTAAATTTACCTCCTCCTCAATATGTCTCGGTCACACAAGAGGAAAAAGAGGCAATTGATAGGGTAAGAGTAACACGAGCACGTGTAAAAATGTTTTTTATATTTATAGAAATCATCATCTCTAATTGGTCTATCCCTATTAGTTGGTAGATCTCGGATTTGATCGAGCTCTTGCCATTGAAGCCTTTCTTGCCTGCGATCGAAATGAAGAGCTGGCAGCGAACTACTTGTTTGAACACATGAATGAAGAGGAGAACTAATTATTTGAAGTCGTTATTTATGCTTTCGATGGAATTTTGCTCTTGGTGACATAAGAATCGACTCGCATTAACGTGTCTTTAAAACTCTCGAGCTGTTAAGTTTGTTACGCCGTTAATTGTATTATTTATGTTGTGTTAGGCTTGGGAAGTATCCATGGAATTGACAGGTGTTAATCGACCAATTACCTATCAATTAATAACCTCAAACTAGGTTTTGCCTTTTAGAAAGTAAAAAAAAAAATATCAATTTTTAGTAGTCAGATCTGACGTAGAACTTAAATTAAATGTTGATCCTATTGTAATATGAAACCAATTTATTCCTGCAAAATTGGATTGATAAATCAGTCAAATAAAATTATTTAAAGCTCTTTCTATGGTGATCAATGAGCTTTGGTTATTTGATAAAGCAACGCCACTCATTCACCGTAATACAGTGGCGGGCTCACCATAATAATAATAACAAATTTTTATCAGTGTTAACTAGTTATGGTATTATGTTATTTATTACGTATTAGTTGATTATTGTGTAGCTTCAATATTCCCCAGCTCTCCTATTGCCGTTTTGGATCTCAACAAACAGTTTGCTAATTTGACCGTGACGGATAGTAAATCCGAAGTTCCTACTTCGGCCCGACCAACTTCCAGTTCTTCGGTCAAAACCCCTATATTGCCTTCTTTGAGAAGGTCAGAGCAATTTCAATCCACAACAAGCAGAATTACTGTCGCAAGTACGCCAGTGTCAAAAGTAAAAATGAAGGTAAATCGGAAAGGCCCCACTATGAAACTTCCGGACATAAGTTCCTCAAAAACACCATTCTCCAACTTTTCGCGGTTTGTGTAAGTAATCATTTTTAGAAATACGATTTCTTTTCCTTGTAGTAAAAGCTGAGGTCTAAACAATTTCACTTGTAGAGACCCCTCAGGAAAGCTTAATTTTAGTGGCAAGGCTATCTTACATGCTGAAGGAGTGGATTTCAGTAATGGAAATAGCTATAAAATTAATATGGACGAATTTGATTTATTGGAAGAACTTGGGAAGGGTCAATTTGGAACAGTGAAAAAAGTATTCCATAAACCAACAAACGTCACGATGGCCATGAAGGTTAGTGTAAAAAAGTTAACTTTTTTATAATAAAATTCGAACTTAGTTGAATTTTTTCATCATTGAAAGGAAATCCGCCTTGAACTCGAGGAATCAAAACTTAACCAGATATTGATGGAGCTGGATATCCTCCATCAATCTAGAAGCGAATTTATTGTTGAATTCTATGGTGCCTTCTTTATCGAATCTTGTGTATATTATTGTATGGAATATATGGATGCCGGATCATTAGACAAATTATACGGTGATGGCGTACCGGAAGATGTTCTCGCTGTAATTACGGCCTCTGTAAGTTATTTGGCGTTATTCCTTTATTTCTAATTTTATTGTAATAACCAGAATTGTATTATAACATGCAGATGGTAAAAGGACTGAAGTTCTTAAAGGACAAGTTGAATATTATTCATCGTGGTACGTAGTAATCTGTATAGTTTGATCTTTGATGAAGTTTAATTGACATACCATATCTTCAGTGTCTTCCATTACCTTAATTTGCAGATGTGAAACCAACAAACGTGCTTGTCAATAGGGCAGGCGAAGTGAAACTCTGTGATTTTGGAGTTTCCGGTCAGCTAACACAATCACTCGCAAAGACGAACGTTGGATGTCAAAGTTATATGGCGGTATGCACTAATCCATGATATATTATCTACAATTATACATTAATAGAAGCTTTAAAAAAAGAAAAAAAATCTTTTTCTTGCATATATTAGCCAGAACGAATATTTGGCGACGCTAGCACTTACACTGTACAAGCTGATGTCTGGTCACTCGGACTTGCCATGGTCGAGCTCGCTATTGGAAAATATCCTTATCCTGTACCTGACAAAAACGAAAATGTTGGATTATTTGCGCAGTTAACTGCCATTGTTGCAGGAAATCCACCTTCGTTGCCAGCTGATAAGTTTTCCGAGGAATGCCGTGACTTTGTGGCACAGTGGTATGTAGTTGAAAGTGACAAACTTGGATCATTCTCAAGATTAATAACAGTTTGAAAAATTACTTATACAACTCAGCCTTAACAAGAATCCTAAAGATCGTCCAACGTATGGTCAGCTTCTGGTAAATAATTTAAAGAATTTTTTGCTGAACACATTTCAATTCCTATATGTATATTTTTAATTAATTTTTCATATGCATTATTTAGGAACACTTATTCTTAAATAAGTATGAAAATGTAGATATGAAGTCATGGGCGGAAACGGCGTACGCTTCACGGAAGGATATATACAAGCAATCATAGACTTATTATGTTATTGTAATCTTTATAGTACACGGGCTATTAAACAATATTAAGCCATTACTATTTTTTTTTTTTTTACTAAGTCACATAATAAGTCGATACATTTTAAAACCGAATTGACAACGTAAAATTGACTAATGCGAATAGAAATTTTTCAAAATCATTGTATGTTAAGACTACCAGATTATTCTATAAACGTCATTCTTTATACAATTGTATATATTAAGTATTTTATAACAGGCACACTATCTAGATCTCATGCCAACTTCTTTTTTCTTTTTAAATATCAGCCTATTTCTCGGTAGAAACCCATCAAATTTTTTTTATCGAGTGTTTTCATTTCCGAGTAAATTTTCCATAAATAGAAAACTCTGAATAAAAGAATGTTTATATATTAATCTTAGTATTTAAATTTAAATTAATCTTTCTTTTTATTATAATAGTATATGTTTTATTTGCGATGTGAAAAAATATTCTCAAATTTAAACTTTAAAATTATAAATGCATTAAGTAATCAACCCAGAAAATCACATTATTTTTATCCAATTAATAAATTAAAATTTATATTTTATTACGTAAATCGAATCTTTAATCATGTAGTTTATTGCTCAGATTTTTTGTTTTTAAACATCAACCTATGGAATAAAAATCTTTTACAAGGCACTGTTTTATATTATAATAAACATATACAGTCTGGTCTAGAAAAAATTAATTGATTTTTATATTTATTTATAATTTAATAACTAATTAATAAAATAAAATAAAAACATATATACAATATACTGTATATATTTTAATATATAAAGAGTAAGTTATATAAAATTTTTTTTTAAATATATCAAAAGAATATATATTGAATTATAATTAAAAAAGAATAGTAATTTAAAAATTCCAACTTTATTTCAATTACAAAAAATAATAATTATTATGATTAAAAACTATTTCAATATATAATTTAATTAAATATAAATTTATAAAACTTTAAAATAATTTTTTTATAATTTTTCTTTTTGAATAATTTATTTATTTATTTATTTATTTATTTTTTCTCTCAATCAGGTTGGTGTCATTTATTTATTAAATCACAATGAACCATTACAAATATGAATTGCATGTATAAATTTCCTTGATCTAGCTCACCTATCTATGACAAAGAGTCTTTAGATATGATTTATGAGGATAATATATTACTTGTCCATTAATTAGAATTAAGATTCCATTTGTTTAATAAAGTTAAAGTCTGCAGATCATCTTTATAGATTATATGTCATAAACCCAAATTGAGTTTTTATTTAAGTACTAATTATTTTTTCACACTTTCTATAAACTCCTGTATTAGTTCCCTAACTAGGGATCACAAAATATCTGATTGGAATTTGTATACATGATCTGATAGATAATCGACATTGTGTATATATATAAAAAGTTTATTATAAAATCAATCAAAAAAGTGAAAAACGTACATCAATTAACAACTTTTTAAATATCTGGCCAAATCTAACAAAACACATACCATTTGAAGGCTCACATCGCGGAAAATCAAATGGTGATAAAATCACAAAATTCTAATCACTGATTATTAAGTTATAATTTTTTTAAAAAATTATTAAAAATAATTATCTGGAGCATAGTGTAGGACATATATATTCTTTACAAACTGTGATTGACAATATCACGTGAGGATTTCTGTCCATCCGTCACGTGATTATAAAAGAATATATATATAATTTTTATCAATCGCTAATGATCGACTTTATTTATTTTTTTTTATTTTATTATTTAGTTTATTTATTATACTACAATTATATGGAAATTAATCATTCTTTCTCAACCTTTCTATCTTGCATTCTTTTACAATTATTGATATGTTGAAGTCTTTTGAAATTAAAGGGTCGAAATAGAATATCTTTAAGAACGCAGACCAGAGACACTGCTATAAACGAAAGATCAACAGTGAATTCTTTTCCTTAAAATCTATTATAGCTTTTTGTAAAGTAAGTCCTTGACTTTTATGTACAGTAATAGCCCACGCAAGATAGATAGGGATCTGTAAGCATGAACAGGATGCATCAGTTTTACTTTCCCAGGTATGTCGAATTGATGTAATCGGGACGACTTTTGTATCATCTAAAGCAGTAATAGTAGGACCCTTATAATTATCAAAAGCGATAAAAACCACTATAGGAAGGCAAGGTGGTCCCTGGTCTCCAAACAGAATGTTTTGGACTGTTTCCATTGAGCTATTAACCAATCTGCATTCCATGAAAGGAGCTCCGGAGGTTTTTTATTTTGTTTTTTTATTTATTTTTTTTTAACTTTTTTTTTTTGCATTTGAAGACGTGTGTACTTAATCGATTAATACAACTAACTGCCAGTAAAAAGGATATTTTGAAATACGTAAAAATAAGTATTCATTTATTTATTCAGAGTAAAGCATAGGAGATTATAATAATAGTGACTAATCTATATTATAGAATTTCA